TTGTTTCTTAGTCAAGTTCATATTTTACTTGCAAGTTGTGAGTCACAGTGGCTAAACATGAAGCCAAACTAGATAGCTTTTGCACTCTATACTTTGTATTTATATATAAATAAAAAACATTTTGGCCAAAGCAACCAGCCAATCTGAATTTACATATAGAATGAGTTGCAAGAGTTTTTATTTCCTTTTAAATTGTCAACTAATTTTCGTATGAATGTTAATATTTATAGTCACGTATGCATGCATATGTACGTATGTAATGTATAAACATGTGAAATATAATGGAAAACAAATATATATGAAGTCGTTAAGGACGAACTCAAAAGACAATAACATAACTCGAGAAGAAACTTCAAGAAGAAAACATGTCTATATGGATTTGCAAAGCTTACATGATTAGCTGCTATATGTATGTATGTAAATACTATTGATTGACCGCTTTTGTGCTCTGTTGAAAAGCGTAAACAGTCAGTAAATTGCAGGGGTGGGCAAGATACTTGGTCAAGATACAAGATAAAAGATACAAGATACAAGATAGTATCTTTATCTTGTATCTTCGTCGCCTGATCAGAGAAGTATCTTGTATCTTGTATCTTCTATCTTTTAGAAAGTCGAAAGTATCTTGTGTAAGTATCTTATCTAGATATGCATGGCAGAAAAGTATCTTAAGATACTTTTGACAAGATACAAGATACTTTTTCTCAAAATTCCGTCAAATTACGTCAATTTCTTACTAAAGTCAGTCAATTTGACCATGAATTTGTCGTAACCAGAATTTGGTGAATTTTTAGTTTATGTTTTGCCAATTCGTAACAAACTTGTACATATATGCACATATATATATATATATGTACATGTGTACTCGTACGTACATACTGATACATACGTTGCACATTACATCTACGCTGAACTAATGTATAGATCTTATAGGGTTTAGTTTGAATAAGCAGGGAATATTGTAAAAATAATACCAGCTTCTTAAGAATATACGTATGTTAGGTAGAGTTCTAGTTTTTCGAAATTTAGACCTTTTTCGATGTATAAGCACTGGCAACAAAATTTGTAAAATGATTCTAGAATGATTTTAAATTTTGTACTCACTAGATTTTTTCGGTTAAATGATTAAACATGACTAATTGGGCATGAATACCAAGCTAAAAAAGAAAGTATCTTATCTAGTATAAAAGTATCTTAAGATACATATCTTGTATCTTGTATCTTGACTACTCAATTTTTAGAAAAGTATCTTGTATCTTGTATCTTGTGTACTTAAACAAGATGTATCTTTTATCTTGTATCTTATATCTTGTCTTAGAGAGTATCTTATCTTGTATCTTGTATCTTACGACCAAAGTATCTTGCCCACCCCTGGTAAATTGTTGACTTTAAGCGTTTCATTACTAATTTTTAATATTCTTTCTTAACCTTTTTCCTTAGAGCTCAGAAACCTTATCATGAATACGTTTGGTACAGTTTGCACGTGTCCTTATATTGTATAAATACAGCTCATCGCCCACTCTCAATTTTCTATTTCAATAATTACTTTCTTTAATATACAATAACTTTCCTAAGCAATATCAGATAAGTGAGTTTCCAGTTCTAAGCTAACCTTCCCTTGCTCTGAAGGAATGGGAAATGATTACCCGTAGAAATGATTCATTTCGTAAAACGTGCCGGTGGATAAGATCTGTGCGTATGTACTTATTAACTATGAGTAAATAATTAAGTAAATATTCGATTAACCCAATAACCAGTTTCCAAACAAAAATTTGTTGATTCATTAACATCTGTATAACTTACAGAAATTATTAAACATGAGAAATTCGAAATATCAAGCTCCGTTACATACATAAATACTTGAATACTTTATTATGAATTGTCAATACACACGTTAAATTGAAACATGTAGATATACGTAGTTATCAACGATAACCCGCCAAATGTACGAATCCCCTTGACATGGTTCCTTTCCGAATGAAGGGTGACGCTTTCCAGTGGTGGTATCCCAGATAAATTTCCCGGTAGTGTCATGGCAGCTAGATAATTTCCCAAACTGTGGGTTTGATAAAAGCCAGTCTCGTAAATTGCATAGGTATGGACATGCAGTAAGAAGTCTGAAATAAAATTAAAATCCACAAATTAATTGGTTATCCAAATTTTTAAAATAATTATTGAAATATGTATGTATTTATGCACACTGCTAGAAATCCGATACATATGTAGACATAGATTTTTTCGTATAAAGTTGCTACCGCTTGGGACTAAAATTACATATACCGGTCTGTAAAAATTTGCTACCGATCTGGTAAAACTTTAATACTGAGCTACTAACCATATAAATACTTCATAGTACTATCTACCAAAACTACTTTGGTACAGTGATATATGAATACCGTTTCGTACCGTCTGGTATTGTATTAATACTGGATTTCTAACAATGAGAAGGTGTGAGGTGGTTATCGCCGATATCCACCGGACTAATTTTAAATTGTTCACGCTCAAAAATAAGTGGACCCGTATTTTTTCGTTTTTCTGAATGGGCATGTTTACTCCCTTGGCGGAATTTTCAAAAAAAATTCAGCCACAATTCGGATTTTTAAAAACGCTGTAACTTTTTGAATTTAAACCCGATTTAAAAAAAAATAAACCCAATTTGTGTTCAGAATTACATCCCTGAAAATATAAAAATTCATTTTAAAAAATTTAAAAAATTTGATATTTTCATGATATTTCTGAATTTTTAGAAACCCAAAAAACGATAATTTTTTGAAAATTACAAGTTTTTTAAAAATGAATTTATATATTTTCAGGGATGTAATTCTGAGCACAAATTGGGTTTATTTTTTGAAATTGGGTTTAAATTCGAAAAGTTACAGCGTTTTTAAAAATCAGAATTTTGGCTAATTTTTTTTTGAAAATTCCGCCAAGGGCGTAAACATGCCCATTCAGGAAAACGAAAAAATACGGGTCCACTTATTTTTGAACGTGAGCAATTTAAAATTAGTCCGGTGGATATCGGCGATAACCACCTCACACCATCGCAATTTAAGAGTGTATTTACTACTATTATATGAATATAGTTACCTCGGGAAAATTAATTACGTCAAGGAACTGGGATCAAAGCGATGAAACATTTTGTCCCCCAAAAACCATGTCAAAATATTTGTCGAGTAGGTATGTTAAACAACTCGACAAACTTGGCAATGGACGTGGGGGACAAAATACCGGAAAGGACTCGTGCCAAGGAGATTCGTGCAGATGTCGGGTTTAGTTAAGGAAAAGTTTTACATTATTGTTTTTTACGCGTTTTTCAAAATTAGTTTTTATTTAGTTAGTTAAATTTAAAAAATCGAAATACTTATTGTTCCTACATATTTTCGTTATTTTGTTAATTCTGGATGTGTCAGTTATTTCAGTAAATATGATCAAATCCAGGCCTCAAAACACGGCTTAAATAGATTTGTAAAAACATGGTAAAAATGCTTATGCAATTAGATAACTGCTTATCAACAAATTATACAATTGTTTTAGTTTTTCCAGGTGGAATTTTTCATTGAGCTGACATCATTTCGTGGCATTCGTCATTAATTAAAATTACAGTTGTCAGGGTTTAAATTGCACCATGCTTTTTCTGCTAGAAATTCCGCTGGTGTTTTTAAATTGGTTTATCCGGCAAAATTTTGTCCAAATAACAAGTCAAGAAAATATGCTTTCTAAAATAAAATATAGTATCTAACATATTTCATGCTACGATGACAAAATGTTTATATCGGCTTGATTTGATGCCGCATTTTTCAAACTTCGTAACTCCGTACATAAATGTCAATAGCATCTGCGGACAATTACTTCGTCGGGAATTTTTAAAGTAACAGACGTTTGCATATACATGGACAGTCTGGCTATGCAAATGCATATTTCAGTTTTCGACTTTTCTCCGCGGAGGTGATTTTAGACCTCAAATCTGTACAAGGCGAAAAAATCTTGTGCATTAAATAAGTTACATACTGTACATATTTATGTACATTTGGACGGAATTTATAGCTGCAAACTAACTGGGTATTTATATAATTTCAAAATTGTGTACAACATTTCTGAAAGTGCATGTGTATGTGGTTATCGATAAACTGGATTTTATTCGTTATATTGTATTGTACTGTATTTTATGTATTATTTGGACGCACCATGTCTATATTCATGCAAACATTGTCCCCCTTGAAACCAGTCGGAAACATTGGTTGCCTGATTAAAATTCGGGAAAAACTCGATACCATATTACGGGTTATCATGCGTCTCAAAAAATCAGGACACAACCCATACATGTTTCAAAAACTCGTTTGTTACATAACCGACTAGTTTTGCTGGATATGTAACAACTGCCAATACAATTGAAGTTTTTAATAAGAACATCATCTGCTAATTTGCATGATCAATACATGTTGCGTAACATATGTTTATGTAATGTACTCATATGTAAAAAAGCCCGGTGTATTATAAAAATTTCTTCAAACGCACGGGGTGTTGGGAACCCTACTATGTTTCCAACTTTGGCTTGACTTGGCTGGGATTTCTGGCCCTGGTCTGGCCTGAGTTTTGGGGATGTACAGATTTTATCTCAGCACCGAAGTGGCCTTGAAGTCCAATACAAATTTTTAATGTGTATGCATTTACTCCTTCTCGTGTCTGTTTGGTAAATACGTCGAGATGTGCGTTATCAAATCAATTAAGGTTTTCCGTGTTAACATGGTTTTCCGAGTGTTATATAAGTCTCAATAAATCAAACCCAGCGTGAACAATGAGCTAGCTTAGGGTTAGGGCGAACTCTTACATATGTAAATATGTTTACGGCGTCATATGTATGCAAATATACATATGTACATAGATAACTATAATTGTCTCATTGTACATATTCCATGTCTTCAAATGAAAATTTCCAAAATGGATTTTCAATTTCATGGGTTTTGAAATAAATACGACTTTTGATAGTTCGATGTAAACTTAACTTTTGATGGTATGTAATGTATAAGCTCAGGAAATTTATTGTCAAAAAATAGTAAACATGTAAACTATTTTTTTCAAGTATTTATTATATATATTTACATGAACAATTTTGAAATTAATTCTAGTTGTAGTGTCTCGTCCCTCCAAAATTTTCGGGAAGTTGGTCCTTGTCAATTCCTGAAAAAAGGATGGGCGACCATTCGCTCTTATTTGGTCCGAGGACTTTAAGAGCTTGACGGGTGGACGGAGAGAACAAGGGACGCACCAGATTAAGGACTATCTCGAAAGAGGCCGGAGCTGAAATTATAGACACATTTTTTAGCAAATTTGACATTTGTCATGCAAAAAGTCAGAAATATATAATTAAATTAAATTCTTAAAAAATGTATTGCAATTTCTAACTTTACTTTTGGAAATTAAAAATTGTGAAAGATATGTATTTTGCAGTTTTGTAAAACTTAAAAAAAACAATTGAAAAATCAATATTATAAAAATTAAAGACTTTAAATTAATTACATAATTAAAATACATATTGCAAAATTTATGAAACTGAGAAACCAAATGAGCCAAACACTGACAAATGTGGAAATGAGCTTGTAAATACATATTTTGCACATTTTTAGACTTTAAAAAGTTCAACCTAAAAATTTCTTACAACGTAAATATGTTTTTCAGATTATAATAATCAAAATTGTTCAAAATCTTTCTCACAATTGATGATGATAATTTTATCCGCGCCGGCGGGATAGTGCGTTTCGTACGTTCCTGTCCACTCGGTGTAGAGTTGGAGGCACTGGGCGCAGAGGTGCTGGTGCGAGTTGAAGTTGTCCAAGTTCAGGATAAAATTCCACTGCGTCCCGTTAATTTTTCCTTCTCTTTGCAAATCCCGAACCTTTTTGTGCACTTCGTCTCGGCGTTTGAACAGCCATCGGATCACGCCCTTCAGCCTCCCTTGCACAACAGCCTTGCGAAGGTCCCATTCTCCAAAGGTGAAGGCAAATACTACAAAAATCATTTGTTGCAATGTTTGAAAAAGTGAGACAACTAAATTTTTGAGAAGTCAATAGACAAATTCGATCTTAATTGGCGTACGTATTTATTACAACGTATAAAATTAAGAGAAATATGTATGTATCCTACAGTTTTCTAGCGAAAGCTTTGCAAAAATTTAAAAAATTTTTCAAACTTATATTGAAATGCTCAATTTTCGAGAGACGCGAGACATGCATGCGAACTTGACGATTAATACTTACATATTTATGAAAATAGGGAAATACAAATTGTGAGTCTTATTGGATATGTAAATATATCTGTATTACACCCTAAATAAATTTGATTAAAATTTACTCAATTTTTGAGTAAAATTGCCACCAAAGTAACTATTGAGTAAAATTTACCCTGAGAAAGGTAAAATTTACTCAAGGTTGAGCAAAAATCTTTCAACCTTGAGTAAATTTTACCTTTGTCAGGGTAAATTTTGCTCAACAGTTGCTTTGGTGGCAATTTTACTCAACTTTATTTACAGTGTAGCTATCGTAATTTCAGCCAGCACTGTACATCGAAATCATATTGACCTTGCAAAATTTTGTTCCCAAAAAATTGCGACAAATGAACTTACAAGGCTGTCCATTTGTATCGACGCCGTCGAGATAAATAGGAAACTCCTTTTCATACTTGGACCAGTCTTCCTTATGAATATTGTCCATTCCGTAATCTCGCCACCACTTTACCGTCTATAAAAAAGAATAAATTTACATATATTACTGGAAATTTGGAATATTTCCTTAAAAAAGTGCTCCTCACCTCCGTTAACATATCCTTTGCACGTTGAGAATCCCATACTCTCGCTGCATAAATAAATATATACATAAAAATTAACAAGGAAATTAATTTACATAATTGCACGTTTTTTGCAAACATCTTTAACTTACCTCTCAAATATCTGAGTAGATTTAAATCCTCTTTCATCCAAGGTTGCGGAAATTTAATGGTTGAGACGGACTTTTTGAACTGTGAATTTAATTCAGGTTTAAATGCATATTTAAATTTGACAATATGCAAATTAAGTATTATTTAAATACTTACCTTGTCCAGTTTCTGCTTCTCACTCTTTGTCAAACTCAGATTTTCCTGCGAAGAGTCCCCCACCATGCAAAATGTGAAGAAAACATGTACCAGAAACAACTTGAGGAACTTATTAAGCAACATTTTACTTTTTTTGAGGAGCAAGAAATACGATTTGTTTTTTTATGGAAATATATAACAGATTAAATATTTAGATGACTTGTTTAGCTACCGGTCAGACGAGTACTGGACGAGGAAAATTGTGCAGGTAATGAATTACGTCGTATAAAATCAAATATGCAAAAAAAGTTGACTGCGATGTGCACGATAAAACAGCAAAATAAGAACAGCGTACATACATACATAGCAATTTAATTAATTCATATGTATCAATCAGCATAATTTTTGTATCGGTAAACTGACTTATTGAGCAGGTGCGGTCAGGCGTGTCGGTATCTTGTGCTCGTGTATGTATGTATTTTACTTTATGTCACCAGTGGCCTCAGAAGCATGGGGACAAAGGGACAATGTCCCCATCGTCTATGTAAACCCGGCCCTCGCTTTCCTATAGTGATAATTTCCCCAGATGTCCCCGATACTTCTGCGGCCACTGTTTTATTTCACGAGTTGCTAATAAGTAAAATGCAAAAAAAGCGTATTGATTTTATAAGCACTGATTTTTTTGGTATATATAACAAAGTTGTTTAGAGTCAGGTCAGCATATTTTTATTTTCTTGGGTTTTGTCCCAATAAAAATATGTAATGAGGCACATTTTATGTAAAGCTGATAATAAAACTTGATGAGCGAACTTATGTAATGGGTATGTACATGTTTGTTATATATTAAATAAGGTTTCTTACGAGGGTGCAGGGTTAATAACAAGGTGCTTTTGGGTCACATATATATGTATTACCATGTTTTTTTGTATATATGTACATACATAAAATGCATGCAAAAAATATATTAATGCAAGTCTCTGAACGACTGGGTAAATTAAGTAGGGGTGTATGTATTTCTGGCCACAACGTTTTATGATTTTATTTTGAATGTAATAATATATGTATGTATGTATGTAGTAGGTCGAATTGGATTTTTTTACTGACCTGGCACATGGCCAATAATAAATAGGATAACCTATGTAGCAAAGTTTTTTCAAGATTCCTTACATCTATAGACTATATAGTTTTTACGCTCTTTTCGTATTTTCATGTGTTTTCAGACTTTTTTTTAGATAATTTCTATGTGCATTTATGACTCGCTGATTTTTATATCGACACATTTGTGACAAATTATGTTTTTGAACGTACATAATTTATCAATAAATGCGTACTTTTATTTAAAAAAACGTAATTTATGTATTTGCTGAAATCCGTTGCGTTATATTTATAAGTCACAAACAAAACTTTGTATTCCACTACAAGCTTAAGAATGTTAAATTTTAGAAACCCTGTTCAAGCGACGCTAAAGCAATAAATGTAAATACATAAGCATATGATCTCCTAAGTTGTTTAAACTGGAACTGGTTTAAACTTTAGACTCAAGTATGTACCTGCGTTTTAATATGATGAAGCGGATTTTTATTACGGTAGACACGTGCATACCTGCCACACCCATTGCATGGAAAATTTCGACAGGTTTGCTGTCAGGAATCCCAGTTTTGTATTAGGTAAATATGAAAGGTGAGATTTAAGCATGTCTTGGAGGTAAGGAGGCACGCAAGTTCATTTGCATGCCGTATGTATGTATGTATGCAAATTTTGCATTTTTATCGCGATTGATTACACATTTGTCTGATCAGTTTGTTGGAATTCTCAGTAAGACAAAATTATGCACTTGCATTGCATGCACGTAAATTAATTGAGTTACAGAATTCCCAGAGTATGAAAATCGAATTAATTTTCTTGGTTTTTTAATTGAGTTAGTCATGTTTTAAATTTTCGTGGGTATAACTGAGCTGAATTTAGTAATAATTTATAGATGGGAATAGGAATGGAGATTTTTTGAAATACGTAATGGCGGATGGTTAGATTGATATCTGTCGTGTGCAATTTTTCTGAAATCTAGCAGCCTATACTTCTTAAAGCGATCTTCATAATTTTGAAATTGGGAAAATGCTCAATCCATTTTATTAACGGCTGCAATTAAATTTACATGTACATATAATAAATAATAATTAAGTGGATAAAAAAATCAAACTCCAACTTCCAGCCTTAAAGTATAGGATAGCAATATTTTTGAAAATTGTTAAAGAAATACATAGTAAAAAAACAACATTTTTATCAGAAACCAGTTTAGTCATCAACCCGGTCAAAATCTTCACCTTCTGCTGAAGCGTCATAATAAGTAACGATTGGCAAATTATTTTCTTCAATAAATGCACGAAAAGCGTTCACAGCTTCCTCGTTCATCTACATAAATGCGTAAATATGAAACAAATTAGCATAATAAAAAATTACACATTTTACCAATAGTACATACACTCAAGATAAGTAACGTACCTCAAGATCTCCCACATCCACGCGTCGCATCATCCTACATGACAAAAGGCCCGCTCGCATCCGGTCCGACAATTGAAAACCTTGCTCGGCATGATACCCATAAAATTCCAGGGAAGTTTGACTCAAACCTAAAAAAAATTTACGAAAAAAATTTTTAAAAATTCGTAATTTGATAACAACTTTTATGAAAATTTTGTAACTTGATTTATTCCGAATTTATATATCAAATTGCATTCAAACCTTTCCATCCCGCCAGTCCTTCCAGCACGGCAATGACCACGCGTGAATAAAACACGCCCCGATAAAACTCACTGATCGAATCCGATCCGTCATGATGAATGTCCACCTGTCCCTCGGCCAAGTCCCAGTCACGCAACGATTGCAGCATTGCGGTCAAAGCGAGAAAATCTTGGTCGGGTCCAGCCCCAATTTTAACGACTAATATCAACTTGAGTTCCATAACAGAGGGGAAGAGGCTGACCAAATTGAGAGAAGCGGGTACACGTCCACCGATTTTGGCAGAATCATGGGTGCACGCTAGGTCGAGCGAGGTTATCCCAGGGTGACCAAGTGGGCCAATCAATTCGGAAATGTCGCCATCCCCAAAGATAGAAAAATCTATGGAGAAAGAGGACAATTTTGGAAGGCGGGTGAGATCCGGGGTGTTGTACACGTCGACAGCTTTGACCTTGAGGTGGGTGAGGTTCGGCAGGTGGAGATTCATCTTAGAAATTTAATTAATTAAAAATTATATAGTTCAAATTTGGTTTCTGTTTTTTTGGGGGAAAATGGTGGGAAGAAAACCCCCGAGAATTTCCACGGCCTGCAAAAAACGGGCTCTAGAAAACTTTTTTAGGGTCCGTTTTTAAGAAAAAGGTTCAAAAACGGGAAAAATTCCCCATTTATTGAGACCGTTTTCATTATTATTTCTACATAGATTCATTTGCCAGTTTTCCCCCCACTTTCCCGACAAACATGTTTCAAATTTTGCACCACGTGTCCAACGTACGTGGCAAATTAACAGAGCTGGGAAATTAATGAGTTTCGAGATTAAAAATTAAGATTTGAGATTAAAAATCCCCGAATCAGAGATTAAGATTAAGATTAAAATTATACGTCTGCTACTAAATTAAATTATTTAAGATTAAATTAATCTATTTTTATGACGAAGATTAAAGATTAAAGATTAATTAATCTAGATTAATAATATAAATTAACAATAATTTTATTTTTTCTCCGTTGTTTATTGTTTACATCGATATTATATCATAAATTCTAAAATTTGAGAAAAGCATGAGGAAGTATCAGCGCTTCAAAAGTGTTGTCCAAAATTATTGAAGTTTTATTGGGTAAATTAAGGCGAATACAATAACTTGTAATATGAGTAAAAAACAGTCTTCTTTTTTTTTTTTTTACTTTTTATTTTTATTTTTATTTTTATTTTTTTTATTTTTTTAATGAGAACCATACCTGTTCACTTTCATTCATTTGAGTGATTATGATGGTGAGTGATAGTGAATGAAAATGAATTTCCTATGATTTGAGTGAAAATGATTGAAAGATTTCGTCATTTCAGATGAATGACTGTGAATGAAAGATTTTTCACTCATTTCATTTTTCACCCTATGCTTAATACATGGAGTGAAGTAAGAAATGAAGTCGGATGAAGTGAAATGAAATGAATTTGAAAGAAAATGATTGAAGGTGAATGAAAATCTTCAGTCAGAAATAGGGATGACTGAACTTCGAATGAAAACTAAATTATTGAACAGGTATGATGAGAACCAATTTTTTAAATCCTTTTAAGAAATACAATTTTAAATAACGTTCCTTTCAAGAGGGAACCTGTCAGAAATTTAGAATTGTTTTGATTTTTTAGAAATGGTTCCAGTCTTGAGAGACGGTCGTGCGTTGAAATTTAGAGATTTACAAGGATGAGTAACAGATGGTGTGATTTTAATGATAATATTAATCCTGATTAAAATTAAACTCGAAGATTCAAAGATTAAAAATTTAAATTAAATTAAATTAAATTGACGTGTGAGATTAAGATTAAAATTATTGATTAATACGATCAAATTTCTTGATTAAGATTATGGATTAAGATTAATTAATCTTAATCTTAATCTTAATCTTGACTAGTTTAATCAAGATTTTCCCAGCTCTGCAAATTAACCCAATTTTCAGGCTTGGACAAGATAGATACTTTAAGATACTAGATACAAGATACAAGATACTACTCGTATCTTGTATCTTCCAGCCGCCTCAGCTCAAAGTATCTTGTATCTTGTATCTGGAAAATCCTCAATGAGTATCTTGTATTTGTATCTTGTATCTGATATTTTCCATCAAGAGGAAAGTATCTAAGATACTTTTTAAGATACAAGATACTTTTTGCGAAATATGTTACCCGCGACATCTATTTTCTTAGATTTATGAGGTAGTAATTGTAATTTTTAAGAAAATATGCGTTTTTTTGCTAGTGGAAGGTATTTTTCAATGCCTAACTACTCAGAAGTAAGACTTTCATCTTACTAGCGATGCCTAAATAGCAAAAAAGTGAAATTTTATCTTTTTTTAATAAAAAAAATCAAAAGTATCTTGTGGAATAATTAAGATACTATATCTTATCTTGTATCTTTACAAATACTAAAAAGTATCTTTTACTTAGTATCTAAGTATCTTGAAAAAAACAGAGAATAAAGTATCTTTATCTAGTATCTTGGATTTTTTTCTAAAAGTATCTTTATCTTGTATCT